AATGAGATGTTCAGTGGTAAAGCTTATTCAAAATATTTGTTTGTTTTTTCGAAAATAAATTTAGCATTAAGCAATTTGATTAATGTAAAAAAGTTTTATTTTCAATTCTCGAGCTTGGTAGAATCTAACATGGAGTCAATTGAGCCCACACAATTTGTAATAATGTAGAAATAGACCATTACATGGAATATGTCTTTGTAGGAAGATTACTCAAACCGAAGAAGATTATCCGTTCTCAATTAAAATAATTTTCTTATTTTCTTACTTAAATAAGACATAAAAAATAACGAAATCTATTTGCTTTTTGAAATAGAAGTAAATAACAATGAACAATGTTTTTTCGTACTGTTAAAAGCAGTAATCAATAACGTTTCACTGGAATTACACTCCAGCAATTCTTACTTCCTATACAAAGAACAACGGTTTTGCCATAAGACATAAATTTCTTAAAGCAGTTCAAATTATTCTAAAAATGGAAGGAGTGAAAGATCAAATGACTATTTTAAGAAAGAAAGAAAGAAAGAACTAATGAAGGATAATAATATATTTATGGTATGGTTAGGCTATGAGAAAGGATTGGTTAATACAAAGGTTATAATAGATTTGAATAACGTAACATAATGAAGTCCCTTTCTTCCGGGTATATTTCTAAATAAGGTATTACAGATAGGTAAAATATTCCTTGAAGATATTTGTTCCTTTCTTTTTATTATCGGATGAAGGTTGATATCTCTGTGACTCAATATAGTTGAGGACGATAAAACCTGAGATGGTTTTTTCAAACCATCTGACTTTTTCAAACCATCTGATAAAATATCATCCATGATGTATCAACATTGATTTGTGATGAATACAGCTATGATAAAAAATACTTCGTTCTAGAAAGCAGAAGTAGGTCAATAGCTCTGTTAAAGTTAGGCTTTTCGATGCAACACAGCCTACAATATGGTCTAAGTAAGTTAAAAATTGGGAAATTGTCCATCAAAAAATTGCCATTGTATGGAACCGTTCTAGGATTGTCACAAGTTGCGTTAAATCTGGAATAAAACTTTCCCTAATCCTTCTGTATTAATATGAATTGGAGAAACAATGGAGGATTGGAGAAGTGCTGTTTATCAATGGCCTCACAAAACCATTCCGTTCAGTAGAAAATGTATTGGTGTAATATATCGGCTATTCAAACATTCTACAGTATACAGGTATTGATCTGTTTCTGCCGTCAATGAACACAGATAGAGAAATTGCCAATCCATCTTGGTAACTATAAACCCAAAATAGATATTGAGCGTTCGATTTTCGTCCTATGACGTCAGAGCCTGGGTTATTTCAGAACACTTAAAAAGCCAAACGAAAAGTCGCGTAATTGCTTCTGCTATATTTAGTCACCGTGCGCGAGCTTTCCACAGCTGACGTAGTCACGGCGGATTGTCGTATACGAAATCATTAAAGGTTCGTTTGATATTTCCTATATTGACAAATTACGTCTATACTTCACAGTTAAGTGACATATTATTTGATAACGTGTACGAAAATATATTTTCATTGTAGAAGACGTAAAGAATATTATTTGCTTCAGATAAAAGCCATGTTCATTTAAGTGCCTTTATCTAATTAGATGTTTTCATCCTAAAAGGGTATGTTTAAATCCGTTCTTCACGCAACAGCTAACCAAATGTTGTTGATTTCCTGCAGTTCCTTGTCCAAGAATGTAATCGAATGAAACGATGTCGCCCCCTCATATTAATCTCATTCTTTATCTAGGAGCCTACAGGGTTTTCAGTTCTATAAATAAATGTCATTTGTAAATAATATTGACAATGATACCAATCATTAAGAAACTGTCCAAAATTGCAACAGATACCAAGCATCTTGATCTTTTGATTTTGTACATTTTTTTACATTTAGTATTTCGTTGTTTTTCTTTAAAACCTCTCTTGTTAATAGAGAAAGAGAATCATCCTGACAACTGTCATCGGAGATAATATTAATAAAAAAAATGTAATATGTCTTATCATCTTACCATTTAAATATAACGTACCAACTAACACTCAATAACTATTGAGATACGCATTACCAACTTACCATTGCAATAAAATTATCTACTATATTGCAGTATACAGTATACAGTATCTTACTGACTTACAAATTAAATATATCTATTTATTTCCGCTGAGATATATATCTCACAAACATTATATTACTCTTATATATTTCATCAGCTTACCTTTTAAATATATCTTACCAGTTAACTAGAATATTAGCTAACATTTCACTGGACGTATATTGTCGGAACCCGTTTCCGTACGTCGTCAGTTGTCCATCCGTTCACATTCCTCGTAAAGATGTAGAATCTAGAATTTTAAATTATTGGGAGTATATATATGCTACAAACACTTTGAATATTTCTTACCAACCTAACATTTAAATTTGTCTTTCCAAATACTATACCTTAGCAACTTACCATTTAATACTATACCTTAGCAACTTACCATTTAAAAATATATCTACTGATTTACCAATTGAATACAACTTACCAACTTACCCTTCAAATACTATACCTTACCAACTTACCATTATTAAATATATCTACCGATTTACCAATTGAATACAACTTACCAACTTACCCTTCAAATACTATACCTTACCAACTTACCATTATTAAATATATCTACCGATTTACCAATTGAATACAACTTACCAACTTACCCTTCAAATACTATACCTTACCAACTTACCATTATTAAATATATCTACCGATTTACCACTTGAATACCACTTACCGACTTACCGACTTAACGTTCAAAAAGAACCTGGGCAACTTACAATTTATGCATATTACGAATTTAGCCCACTATTCAAATATATCTTCCAAATTTACCAATTAAATATATCTACCAACCTACCATTCAAAAACTATACCTTAACAAGTTACAATTTATATTTACCGACTTACCAATTGAATATATCTTACCAATTTACCATTCAAATACTATACCTTAACAACTTATATTTATACATATATTACGAATTACTATTCAAATATATCTTACAAATTTACCAATGAAATATATCTTACCAACTTACCATTCAAATATATTTTACCTGTTTAACTTATATATTAATATATCTAGTCAATTGACCATTTGAGTACATCTTACCAACTTACCATTTAAATATATCCTGCCTATTTGTAAATTAAGTACATATTACCAGATTATCATTTGATATATTGGATCTATGTAGCCTACTAATTAAATATGTCTTACTAACTTACCATTCATTAGGATGGCCAACTTACTATCTAAATAACTATTGCTGACTTACCATCTAAGTATATCTTAGCTGCTTACCATTCTAATTTATCTGACCTATTTAACATTTACGTATATCTTACCAACTTACCATTTAGATATATCTTACCAACTTACGAACTAAATACTTCTTTCCAACTTACCATTTCTTAGTTACTTACTTATTTACAAATTAAATATAGATTTTCACCTAATCGATTTAATGTATTTCACCAACTTTCATTTACAGGTTATAGGAACCACAGACTACCGTGAAAGTCCTGTAACAGAATCAGCTTTGCGGAAACTGCCGAAGATTGTCGATATGATACATATGACGAGAAGTTGGAATGATGCAAATAAAAGCCTTATGGCTCTGATATACCACAATATTTTGTTTGATCCCATGTCCAATGGCGAATGTAGCTGCAAAAGGGTGGAATTTTCGTCCATATTTTCGCAATCAGTTCAAAATGCAGAGCTATAGATGTTTCGATTTTTCCGCAGATACTATACATGCCAGCCATGAGATTCTTCAAAAGAGATACTAAACGAAACATCTAGACCTCAATGAGCGTATAAAACGAAATATTCTGAACTGAAATCTATCAGACCGACGAATATTTTGTTGTTGATACTATACTACCCCGGGATCTGTTGACCATGCAATCTTTAAGGTTTTTGTGAACTCGGAAAATTCGTTTAGAGGCATCTCAGGAATCATTTATTGCCGAGTCATATGGATTGTGTTTTAATGAGGGATAATATAAAATAATAAATTTAAACTTAAAGATCTTTTATTGTCTTCAAAGTCATGTATTGGCATTATGCCATACGACATTCTCATCCAGCAAGAATAGTTAAAGAAAGGCTTTGAATTCATGTACAATAATGAATAATAATAGATATGATAAGAACATTATCATATTAAAGTGTCATAACAATGAAGAAAAGAAATAACATTTAAAGTGTAAATATATAGATAAATCTATTTTCAGAATTACAAGGCGTTTATCACATACCCGCGCATTTAAAACATTGCGAAATATACAGAACAATATATTTTATATACATACAATAATTAACAATAGCATAAAACAAGATTTAACGTTCACAACGCAGATAACCGGGTTTACATATAACAGATTTTGATTACTATGATGACAATGTTAGATGTAGTTTTTACTCTTTTCGGATATAAAGTGAAAATGAACTAATGATTATATGAAAATGATAAAAAGGAAATATTTTTAGACATTTTAACTTATAACAACAAATAAAATATCTAAGATGCTGCCAAATAATTAAAAAGCATCAAAGAAAATGAACAATGAACATAACATTTGATATCTAATTTTGAAACAGCATTAATAACAACATTGGTAGAATATCAGTAATACAACAATATTCACTGGAACAATTTAAAGGACATTGGGCTTACAAATAAAGCCACATTGAATTGTGTAGTTAAAAGTCAAACTCTTTAGAGTACTACATACATGATCTGATGTATTTGTATTTAAAGCACCAGAATGTTTACATTAATGATGATGTAGTGACTACCATTGGAAGCGAACAAGGAACACATCCAAGAATATTAGCAGTATCAATCATAGAGTCACTTATAGCACCTGATGTTGAGGCAGCTTGGGTTGTTGCTGAGGTGGCTGTTGCTGTAGATGCAATCATCTTGGCTTCCTTTTTGATACGCTGTTTCATATGCACTTTAGCATGGCGTTTCTTTTCGTCACTACGAGCGAATTTGCGACCACATATATCACAAGAGAATGGCTTCTCCCCAGTATGTGTACGAACATGAGTAGTTAAATGATCACTTCTACTGAATGCACGTAAACAAACTTTACATTGAAAAGGTTTTTGTCCAGTATGAATACGAATATGGCGGGTAAGTTCGTCACTTCTAGAAAATCTTCTATCACAATTGTCTACAGGACAAGCATAAGGTCTCTCGTGAGGTGGAGTTTTACTTGGTCTATTTGGATACTTCCGTTGTTTTACAGGGAAAAATTTTAATGCACTCTGTTGATAAGTTTGGGATAATTGCGGAATTTCGGATTTCGTAGCTATCGCCGATGTTGAAGCGAAGTCCATAGGTACAGTAGTTGGAGCATAAAATCTATCACCATAACTGTCAGTGTCTGGTTCCGTTTTGATATTAAATGCCTGCATAGGAATTTGTCCGCTAGGCTGTGAAACTAGAGCAGTAAAGTCGGGTAACTGGGTCTGAGAAGCTGGATTTGAAGAAACAGACCACTTTAAGTCCGCACTAATGTTTTGTGTTTTATTAAAGTCTGAAATTTGCATTTGTAACACAGTGTCCTGAAGTGATCCCTGGGAAAAGTTTAACATTCCTATATTTTCAGCAGATTGTGGTTGTTGTTGTTGCTGCTGTTGTTGAGCGCAACTACTAAACGTTTGTGGCTGTTTCATGGCCAAATTTGTCAAGTCTATGTCTACTCCTAATGGCATTGCCTGGGAATAGGGGGGAGGTGGTGGTGATGAATAGCTAATACTATCATCAACAGGTGACATAGATCCTGATATTGGCGGCATTGGTGGTTCAGGCGTAGACTGACTGGACTGTGGTGTTAATGGAGATCCAAATTCAGCTGTATAATTATCAATTTGTTCACTAAATGACAATTCGTCTTGTGATTGTTGATGTCCTTTCTGTACAGGTGATGGTGATGGAGATTTGAACATGGCCATGGAAGTTGGACATATTTCACTGATATCACTAGTAGATAAGGTGGTAGTAGAAGGAAAGGATGTGGAACAGGATGTTAGTCCAGAAGAAGTTGTTCCAGGAAATAAGGAATCAGCAGATGTGGTTGAAGGGAAGGTCTGTGGTACATTACTTTGGAACTGTGTAGCTTGAGACAGTATAGTAAATAATGGTGACATTGGTGATAGAATTGAAGCAAAACTTGGTGGTGCTGTATCACTTTGAGATGATGTTGTTACCAATGGTGTTGAGGTTACCAATGTCCCTCGGTAGGAGATGGTATGGGTAACATTCCCGCCACTCTGCTGAGGCTGACATCTGTTCGGGAACATTCCCTCCACCGATTTCTCGGGGATGTTGATAGAAGCCACGATATTTGCTGAAAATACAAAAAGAAAAATCGTAAGTACATATGAAGATATTTTACTTTAAGATATTTGGAGGTTATAAATGTATTAAGTGAAGTACAAACCCATAGCAACTCAAGACAGAAAGTAGACTGAAGAAAAGAAAACTAGAGAAGTGAGAAGTTACTGTTGCTTTGCAGTTTATATAGTACTTCAAAAATTCTTTAAATATCGTAGGCCTACCCCGAAGATACATCGTGAAAATCCTGGGATTCTAACTGCTTCAATGAACGTAAGAGAGTGACGTACTCCAGTATATCTAAAGCAAATACTAAGCTCCGCCTCTTTTACGTAGGCGAGTTGCAATGACGCTCACGCAAACCAGTTGATGAATGAAATAAATAGCCTAGACCCCAGCTTCAAGAGTACTAAATATAGAATAAAATCGATAATTCGGCAAATATTATAATTGATTGATATTCCCAACACGAGTTCCTCTCTTATCAACTATTCTGACGGCGTCGATGACGGTCCTGCCAAGCTAATATCGATCCATGTTTAAATATATACAAGTCAAGAGGCATTATGGCCGACAATGTCATTTTCTCACGGTAACTCATATCCAAATTGAACAATAAATAACTCAGTTTAACGTCAAGGTACTAAGATCAAAGTTGTTACAAACGTCTTTCATATCCAAAAACATGTTATGAAACATATTCTTTGATTAAGAACTACAAGTAAAACAGGTTTCTTCAGTAAGAATAAAGTAGGCCGTTGATATTCAACAGCTGATTATTACTGTATGGCCAAGTCACATCAAACACTTGACATTCCTTTCTTAAGAAAATAAGAAACCTACCAGTAGCTGTTATTGGCGGTGGCTCCAATGTATCTGGTCCAAAGAACGTAGTTTCCGAACATGTTGTCACTGGTGTATTCAAAGAATCATCAACAAATTCCTGTGTAGGTCTAATGACAGCCCCAGTGGCTGGGGTGTCATAAGAAAAACTATGAATATCCGCCAGTGCCACTTGAGATAAAGTGTCTAACCCGTCCATAATCATGACGGATGGAGATTTAGGTGATTCCGACACGATGAAAGGTAAACAGTAATCCAGATAACCACAGGTTGTTGTGGTTCGATTTGAATACTATGAATAAATCCTTAGAATATCATCTGAACAGTGAGGCTGCAATCTTATGAATGAATTTCCAACTTATATACCACGAGTTATGAATGAAACTTGTTCACATTGATATGCCCATATATGGAGCGTACTATTTACGTTGAACCAATCAAAAGCCTTTATTCCATTGACGTCACTATGACGTAGGTATAAATAAAAGATAAATTTTACGATCAATTACCCATGATTTCTAAGTAGGTCACAAATTTACTATCACAATTTTCTCAAAAACTACGATATATTTTTGGATGCCCTTTAGATGAAAGAAAGATGGGATACTAATGATTATTGCGTTAAAATTTCATTCAAATTCAACCCTTTTAAGCTAAGAAACCTCCTAAATGAAATTATCATATGATTACGTACGTCATGAAAAGAAGTTGAACTTTGCCCTTTAGACGGAAACTTCCATATATGGCACACAAAGAATCACGAACATTGCCGAAGTTTGAATACCGATTAATACAATTCATGACGTCAATGCCCTGCAGGGGGAAACGAACTGTCCATATAAGGATATAACTCTTCCGATCTAGCTTCATTAAAAGGTCATAGGGGTCAAATAAGCCTAATATAGAAGTTATCGTCAATATAAAAAGCTCGATGGACGGAAATCTCTTTTCCGTACGTGTACAAGCCGACAGCTAATTTGATCGAGATTAAGATACAGTGACCTCATATATCTTATATTAGTAACCAAGGGAGTACCGTTTGTACGAATATGATAAGATTATAGGGCCTGTGGTACTATATTTGCCTATCAGAGTTTGAAAATAGAATAGGAATGGGCCATACAGTACTAAAATAAGACCGAGACCATTATGGCGCTGTATAACCACGAACCATATCGGCACTGTAAATACTTGCGCTGAAGGTTTGAAAGTAAAATTAGGTCAATACATTATAATAATAGACAATGGTGGAAAACGACTTTCCTACTGTTAGGTCTACCACTTATTGCCTTGAATTGATAATAATTAACTACGTTATTAAATAACACATGTCTGTCTATATTTCACCATAAGGCATAAAACAATGCATTAACAATGCAATTACAATTTAGCATTTGTTTGATGACAAAAAATATAATTGAGCTTTCTCAATTGCAGATTGTAGACGATATAATGATACAGAATGACAAACAAAACATGTATCAGACAGAAACCATATAATTGGACAGAACTAACAGGCACTTATATATTATACAATGAACATGTACAGATTCACTTAATTCTTGTTCTGGTTCTACTCAGGTGAAATTATTCTTCAGATGTCTAAAAGATACATCCCTAAACAAACAACGGAAGTCTAAAGATAAAAAAAAAGATAGCTTGCCAGGCAAGGTAACGTACGCCCACTTGCAGCTGTCAGAAATGATAAAACTTTAGTGACTAAAGTATGAATTTTCTCATATAAAAGAAATTTTAATAGTTTGAATTCAATGATATATATATTTACTGCCAGTTATATTTGCTGAGAAATTCCACCAAATTTTTAGAAATCAATATCAATAGCCCAAATACATCAAATAATCACATTAATATACATGATCACACCATGTTTCATTAAAATAAATTGAAAACTGTAGTATCTAATGTGTTCACAAACACTTTTTGACGCGTTTTTCTGAAGTCAAAGGCAATAACTCAAAAACCGTTCTTCGAAAGATAGTCAAATTCGCACTGGACCAAGATCTCATCAGTATAAATGATCACACCAAATTTCATTAAAATCAGTTAAAAACTGAAGTCTCTATTGTGTTCACAAACAAATTTTTTGACGCGTTTTTCCTTAGTCAAGGGCAATAACTCAAAAACCGTTCATCGAAAGACCGTCAAATTCAAACTTGACCAAGAACTTATCAATATAAATGATCACACTAGATTTAATTAAAATCAGTTGAAAACTGTAGTCTCCATTGTGTTAACAAACAAATTTTGACGCGTTTTTCTTAAGTCAAGGGCAATAACTCAAACACCGTTCATCGAAAGATCGTCAAATTCGAACTTGACCAAGATCTCATTGATATAAATGATTACACCAAAATTCATTAAAATCAGTTGAAAACTGTAGTCTCTATTGTGCTCACAAGAAATGTTGATGGACCAACCGACTGACGGACCGAAGGACCGACGGACCGACGGACAGGGGCGACGGCAATATACGTCCACATTTCCATGTGGGCGTATAAAAAGATTAATTATATCAATTTGTCCTATAACAAGGCCTTTAGTCAGTTATACCTCCACTAATTCCAATGTTTTCTGCACCATGGGAAATCCAAAATGGTTATACTGTGTTTTAAAAGATATTAATTTTTTTTTCTCCTTACATCGATGTAAAAATGGAAATAAATGGCTCAGTTTTTTAAAGAGAGTTCTCAAATTATAATGCGCTCATATCCTCGCAAGCGTATGTAAAATTCATTTTTGAATTAGTTGCATACTCAGAAAGTTATATTTATAGGTCGAAAATTAAGAGGACTTTCTCTATTTTTTCAGCAGGGGAGAGGGTGTGATTTTGGTCTTGAATAAATGTAAATAGTCTTCAGAAATACTAAAAAAATACGAAGATCTCATAATTCTCTCAAAAACACCTCAAACATGGAATGTATTTTTCATATATGGTAGAATCTCGAGACGAGTCGTCTTTTAGACTTTCTAACGCGGATAATTCTGGACATGCATG